ATCACTAATGCTTGGAAGTTGGAAAGGGGCTTGTTTCACTAAGCAGAAATATGTCCCCTCCACATGGAACCGTGTCCCGCAAGATTATAGGGGATCTGCTGCTCTCTGGTTAGATGAAACCCCAACAAGATTTTTCCCACTGATTTAGCAACACGTTGGAAGGATGAGCCCTAGAGAATAGGTGATGTTTGCATCTGGTAAGAGCCAGGATGGGACCCCCCAGTCTGAGTTCCAGCATGGAAATAGGCAGGATAGAAATGCAAAGAATAAGAACCCAAAGCAATGTTTCTGTTGAAGACTAGAAATGATGTAGGTTATGTTTTGTGAGATGCAGCCCATTCCCTGTAGCTTTTAAAACCGAAACAACCCTAATACCTTAAAGCCTGTCTTGAGTTACGCTTGGCTCCTGGTGGCTTCCTGAATGCCTCCATGTCATTCTTTCTGAGCAGCAATATAGATGCAGCTTGCAGAGATGTTCTTTAGATGTGTCTGCTGGGATGTGTTTTTGACTTCCCAGTCTTCCCAGCCATTCTGGTGTAGTGGTTAAAGGTACTGGGAGACTGTGAGTCCTAGTCCCAGTTTAGGCCCAGAACCAGCCAGGTGACCTTGGGCCAGTCCATCTCTCTCAGCCCCAAGAAGAAGAAGACAAGGGCAAACCCCCTTCCAAAAAGGTTGCCATGAAAACTGCAGGGACATCCATGTAGTCATCAGGAGTCAAGATTAACTCAAGTAAGAGACCCAGTGTGGTGTGGTGGTTAAAGGCAGCAGGCTAGAAAATGGGAGATGGTGAGTTCTAATCCCGCCTTAGGCATGAAGCTAATTGGGTGACTTTGGGCCAGTCCCTCTCTCTCAACCCTAGGAAGAAGGTGGCAGTGGCAAACCACTTCCAAAAAGGTTGCCAGCAAAACTGCAGGGGCTTTGCCAGGAGTCAAATCTGACTTGAAGGCACCAAAAAGGGGGGTGGGGGGAAGCCTTGTCTGCAATTCTGTGATGGTCCCCCACCCAAGGACTAATTGGGCCCAATCCTTTTCAGCTTTCCTGACCAGACAAGGTTGCCCCCCCAATGCCACCTCCAAAGACTTGAAACTTAACTTGAACATTGATACTAAATACAACTTTTATGGTCTCTGTTTGGATTAAGGCCAGACAATTGCTTTCTGGAATGTATATATTTATTTATTTAAAAAATTTATATGGCTACCCATCTTAACTAAAGATCTCTGAGTAGCTAATAAAAACAGTACATTAAATAACCAAAACCAGAAGGTAACACATAATTAAAAATAACTGATGCTTCTTACGAATTGTCTTGCAACAGAAAGCAGACACATAGACTGGGCCATGCTAACATCCTGGCCTCACTGCCCGAGGGAAAAGCTAGGTCTTCAAGGCCTTCTAGAGGTCCATCAGAATCAGGGCCATCCGAATCATGGGAGGGAGGAGGCTTTTCCAAAGGGTGGGGACTGTGGCACTGAAGGCCCACCTTCTTGGTCCCACCAGATGACATTGTTTCAGAGAAGGATCCTGGAGCATGCCTACCTTGCTAGGTCTAGTGGGATGGGCCAAAACCACCAAAAACAGATGATCCTGCAAGGAGTCTGGCCCCGGGCCATGTATGGCTTTAAAGGTGACAACCAGCATCTTGAATTGCACCTGGGACTCTACTGGGAGCCAGTGAAGCTCACGTAGCAGAGGTGTTATGTGAATGTACCACAGGGCTCCCCAAAATGCTTGTGCTGCTGCATTCTGGACTAATTGTAGCTTCTAAATACAGCAACTTTGAGTTAAATCTGCATCAGGGTTTCTCACACTATGGTTTAATCGATCAGATTGGGAATCTTGGGTGATGCACGGGGATTATTTTGATCTACCATGGCATAGAGGGGAATTACACCTAACGGGTGTGGGTTTGAGGGTGTGGAATCCATCCATTTCAATTCGGATTGCTGTTGTGGTCTGAAGTTCCACAAAACAAGTGACATCAATCCAGCTCCTGGAAAGTAAGGAAAGTGATGCAGCAAACCAGTGAACTCAGTTTATTTGGCCTAGAAACCCACAACCAGGCTGGACTTGCTTCCTCTCAAACACATCAACCATTTTTGCTACAACTTCTTATGCATGTTTCCTTGGTAACCCCTTTACTTAAGCAAATGAAGAATTATGTTCCAATTAGGCACATACAAGCAGGGGTGGAACAAAGCATGATGGTGCCTAAGGCAGAAAATCCAAATTTTCTTTCAGACATTTTCACTCTTAATTAACTTGGGACACCCTGTCCCAAGAAGGCGTTCGGTCAAACTTTCTTGACCAAACCAAGAATTGAGGTTCAGCTTGGATGGGAGAACCTCCTGGGCAGACCCAGGGCCCCAAATCTTGAAGCAAAGAAAGGTTACGTTACAGCTGAATTTAATATATGACTGTATCCCCCGTTATGAAACGGTAGGCAATTGAGGGGGGAGGACATTGGGATTGATATTATTTGAACCATCTGGGGCAAGAGGTGCCCTTAAATTATTTCTACCCAGGGCTGGCAGCTTGAAGGGGTTGTGGACCACACTTAAACATTTTCCATGGCTATGAGGGTCGCCATGGATGATGGTGAAAAATGGGCACATTACCTGTGCTAGGCTGGGATTTTCTCATTTTTATCCCCCAACTTTTGGTAGACCTAGTTTGAGCTTAGAGGCTAATCATGGTCTGGCCTAGAAAATACTGGGATGGGAAGCTACCAAGGAATATCAGAGCTATAGATGAGAAGTTGAAAACCATCCGAGAAGAAAGGAGACGCAAACCATTTTCTTATTATCATGGATGTGTCATAAAGTCATCAAGAGTCAGGCCTGACTTGAAGGAAACATTGCCTTTCATCCATACCTGACTGTGTCCAGATGCTTCCTGCTGATTTCAACATTGCTGGATTTTATGAAAGGTTCTTGGAGCTTCAAAATGATCCCGAAGAGTTATCTCCAATGCTGCAGCCATAAGATGCATCTCCCTGGCTTAAACTAGAAGGCTTCCCCACTTGAACCCTTTGCCTTTTATAGTTTCAAAGCTGCTGCTGCTGATGCCACAAAATCGTTTTGCCAGGAATTGTCTCCAGAAACGGCCTGAGAATCCCACGGCTGCCATCATTCCAGGATGGGGATGGTTTCTGATCATGGCCCAAGAACTCATGGCAGTTTGTGGTGGTGCCTGTGGAGTGTGGTCAAAAGAGTCAACATGGCAGGCATGACAGTGCAATCAAAGCATGCCACGCAGATTAAAAACAAACAGAGCTTCCATCACACCATTGTGGCTGCCATCTTGACTTTTTTTGACCACGTCCTGCAGACACCCCTGGCACTTTGTAAAAAAACCAAAAACCCTTCTCCCATTTCTGAACACGTGGTTCTTTGCTTTACAAGATGCTTCCATTATTTTGGATCACTGACAACATTCCCAACAAAATTTTGGTTTGGCTACCTTACAAACGTGCTTTTAGAATTGACCATGCACATAAAAATCAGGTGGAGCGTCAATGGCACCATCACAGCTGCCATCTGGACTTCTTTGACTTATCCTGCAGATATCCCCGGCTTTGCGCTTGCTTGTTTTCAGGGATTGCTTTCTTGGGCTCAAGAAAATAGGGGAAAAAATCTGAATGATACAGAGCAGGGTTTCTCAACGTTGGCGACTTGAAGACGTGTGGACTTCAGGTCGCCACGGTTGAGAAACACTGACATAGAGAATCTCTGGTGCTTCATGGGGATCCTGCCCTAATTTGAACGAGATTCGGAATTAAAACTTCTGCATTGTTCTCCCTGGAAAATTTGCCAATCTCTCCTGTGCGTGCAATGGAAGATTTTCCTCTCATTGCCCCTCAGGTTGGATCCTGGCTTGGTATCCCAGCAAAGGGGTGAATTTTGGCCCTCCAACCCCTCGTCCCAAACTACTTTTTCGAGGTGCAGCAGGCAGGAGTTTTGTAGCCGTGTACACAAACGTGGGGCTTCAATTTTTATTTGTTGGGTTGGCTTAATGAGACACGCAGGGAAAAGGGAGGAAGCGTTGCCATAGAGACGGGAACGATTCTCGAGCACAAATGTGTTATCCGTGCAGTGCGGACTGTTGCATAATGGCGCAGTTGCAGGGCAGCCCCAAAGGCAAAAGCGGGCGCTGGGCATCTGTCGGAAGCTTAAGCGAGTGAAGACGCCGGCACCCTCCCCTGCAGGGTTGGCTGGGGAGTTCTGGGAGTTGAAGTACCCGAAGGGGAAGGAGAGGGAGAGGAGGAGGCACAGGGGGCGGAAACGTGGCTGGGTTAGGATAGGGTACTAAGGCATGGTTTAGTTCAGGAGTTTAGGGAGGGAATGGATTTAAGGGGTGAATTTAGGGGGTGAATGGATCATTTTGTGCTGCCCTCTTCCTGAGTTCCCCAGTGTCCGATTCGACTCCTGACGGCTTTCCAGGCACCTTTGCGTCGTTTCCTTCCCAACAACACAGAAATGGCACAACGCTGCCTTCTTCCAAGCTGCTTTTCATAGCCTACAGGACTGAATCTTCTATCCAAGGACCGACCAAGTTCAGTCCTGTTTGCTTTTTGAGATCAAATAAGGTCACCTGGTTGTGGCCACCTAACTGGGCACTTAAAGTCTTCTTCAAGTCAAGCTCGACTTCTTTGTGGACATATTGGTGCTGTTACCTTGGCTTCAGTAGCGTGACCTTTTTCCAGGGTGTTCTTCAACTTACCTGCCTGGTCTGCAGCTCTGGTACTCCCTGGTGGTCTCCCATCCAAATGTTAACCAGTCCTGACCCTGCTTAGCTTCTGGGCCCAGATGAAGTCAGCCAACTGGGTGCCAGCTCTTGAGATGAAAAGATCAAACAGCGGGGATCTGTATTGAATGATCCTGTTTAACCTCTAATTCAGCATACAAGACTTTCTGGTCAAAGGAAGAGAAGGGGGCATTTCTCATTTTCATCAGTAGCGCTGTATCTCTCAGCCAGCCTTGCCTTTCCCACAGAGCAATTTCAGGAATAAAATGATGGCTATTTTCCATCTTTCCACGCAGGTTGGAATTGACTTCACGGCATCCAATGGAAATCCTCGGGATCCGACATCTTTGCACTACATTAACCCCATGGGGACAAATGAATACCTTTCAGCTATCTGGGCAGTAGGGCAGATTATCCAAGACTATGACACGTGAGTGGCACGGAATAGGTCACCCAAAGAGTGCGTCGGGTATGTGTTTAAAACCTTAGGCGAAGAGTTGTCAGCCATGATCGCTTGAATGGAGCCTTCATATCCAAAATTAGTCTAGTTGAAGTGTCTAGAAAAGAAAAAAGATGGGTGTGGGGGAGAGAAAGCCAGCAGAAAGCCATTATCTTCATGCCCTCTTGGTGGTGTTTCAAAAATATTTAGTCAGACCCAAGAAATGGGATGGACTTAATTCTGAACCAAGAAGGGTCTTCTTAAATCACACACTGACTTGTTCACAGTCCCTCTTCCCCTCCAGTCAGTAAGATAACTAGGGCTGGGCATGGGGTTCTTTTAAAGTTTCTAGTCCTTATGATGGTAGAAAAAAAGAAAGAAACGTGCCATTCCTACACTTGTTGCATTTACCTAAGTTGCAGAAATCTCCATTTTTCTTCCATTCATCATTCGGCATTTGCGCTAGAGTTAGGGATTGGGGATGTGCAAAATGTTTCCATCAGACCACTCTGGTTTTTGAAACACCCTGGGGAAAGACCTGGGGGAAAAAAAGGTTCTATGTGAACATCAGTTCTGAGTGGCAAACGGGCTGATTTGAGCATTTTCAGATGTGGCTTGAAAACCGAGCTTGAAACAGCCCTTCAGGCCCTTGGCGGTTGCTTTCACAGTTGAGATGAAGCATTTTGCACGCCGGTTCCAAATAGGGAGTGCTCGGATTCAAGATGTTTTGCACACTTCTATTAGGGATGGGAGAAGCTGGCACTGGCAAAGTGCATTTCCTCACCTGGGCCTCTCACATTTGTTCTGTTTCTTCTTGATTCTTTTGCAGAGACAAAATGTTTCCTGCCTTGGGATTTGGTGCTCAACTACCACCAGACTGGAAGGTAAATAGAGGCCATTGGCCATAGAGTGTTTCGTGCTGACTGCTTGTGCATCTTTAGGTGGCATGAGACTTTCAGTGGTTCCTTCTTGGTCCTGAGCCAAGGGGATGGTCCTTCAGCACTCAGAGAGCTGTTCTGACCAAGGTAAATTGACTTCAACTCCCAGAATTCTTAGCAACAGCCAGGTTGGCTGGGGAAGTCTGGGAACTGGATTCCACACCTTTGCAAAGTGCACCAAGGTTGAGGGCACCTAAGTCAATATCCTAGACTAATAGAATCATCATCATCGTCATCATCATCAAATAGGGAAACTGAGGTTCAAATCCCTACTCAGTCCTAGAGGCCATTGTCTCAGTCCTTTGAGCCTCTCAGGGGCTACGTTCATACAACCCCTTAACCTGATTACTCAACCTAGTGGAGTAGGGTTCTACACAATATATGGAATCAAAACCTAACTAAACAACCTGGGTTTACACACCATGCCAAACCACAACACATTCACCAAGTTGTGGAAATGCATCTGTTAGGTCTTTGTCTGATTGCCATTATCATCCTGCCCAGCCTACCTCACAGGGTGGTTGTGGGGAAAATTGGAAGAGGGAGTGCTATGCATTGCTGTATTTTGTGCCTGTAGGAAAGGGGGGGATAACCAGTGAAGAAATACATTTGGTGCTGGAGGAAGCACATACAGATTTACAAGATTCTGTCACTATGGCTATTCTAATAAAAGTAGCTTTAGGCCTACATGGTCCCTGTTTCTTAGTCTGGTCTACCTTATAGGGCTGGGTTTCCCAGGTTTATCTGTGTAATGGTATGTGGGAATGACAGGAGGAAGAGCTGCAGACAAGGCGACCATCAGGCAAAAGGTGTCTCACCCCACAGAAGGAGGGAGGGCGTGGGAAGCGTCTCAGAGGGGACCCTCCCTCATTTTCCAGAGAGTAAAAGGAGAGAGGGGAGAAATACTCTCAAGTCTTGCAAGATTCTGTTACTGTAACCTTACAGTAAAGATCAAGTTGGTACTCCTAGTTGTGCTTATTGTCTGGACTACCTCGGAGGGCTAACAATACGTGGGGCAGAACTCAGTTAAAACTTCTAAGAAAATGTCTGGAAAGTTTCATTTTCACCCTTCCCCTCTTGAACTGGGTTGCATAGCTTTTTCCAGGCCAAAGGTGAAGGGGGAATTCAGTCTTTAGAAAATGATTAGATTTCCCCCTGTGGTCTTCCCCATTTATTTCGCCTCCCTGTTTGGGCAGTCAGAGAGTGAAGTTTGTAAAATCCATTTGTACAGCGGCGCCAGGGTTGAATAGTAAAACCTCAGTTTTAGGTCTTGGCTGTTCTCTTAATGGCGGAGCTTTCTGGTAGAAATCAATGTGCAATTGATTCTGACTGCTTCTTTGCCATTTTGATGAGGGTTTGGCATAACAGGCACCCTCTGCACAGGAGTGATGGTGATGGTAATGATAAGAAGAAGCATGTGAGGTTCGGCTAAGGCATGACTCACCCCTCCCTGGAGCATTAAACGGTATTTTGCCTGTCTTTTTCCTCTTTGCAATGAGTGCAGTCACTGTCTTGGTTCTGAAGGTGACCACTTTGTTGCTCCTGACATTTTAATGGAATTTAAAATGAAGTGGAAGGAAAGAAGGATGGCTGATGTGCTATTTTGTTTCTGAAGGTTTAAGATAGGAAATCTTTCTGCCCAAATGTGTTGAAACGATAATGTTCATTTTCTTGCCATATGCAGAAGAAAGGCTCTGTCTTTATTTACTAACGCTGCTGGTTTCAATCTTAAATCCAAATTATCAGGCAAAGTTTGTAAGAGACATTTGCTATCTGATTAACTGGTGCTGGGAAGAAGGAGAAATGTCAGGAGGGGCAGTATTTAAAAGTTCAACTGTTGGGCTGAATACAGACATAGAATCAAAGAATTAGAGGGAAACTTGGCAGTCTTGTAGTCTCACTTTCTGGTGGAAGAGACTCCCTGCTATCACAATTCTGGTGTATTGTTGTTAATCTGAATTAACAATAAGCGAGGCAGATTGTTCTGTTATCAGATCTTTTGTACCTGCTTCTTGGTGTTTACTCACCATCATCTTTGCTTGTCATTTGAACTCGTTGCTTTGCAACCTGACAGAGTAAAGGGTAAAAGCATCGTTTGTTTAACACCCCTTCAAACGACAGACAGGCTACTAACTTAGCTGTGAATAGTCTCTTTTTTCCCTTTCCAACCCAACAGAATGTTGGAAAGAAGTTATGTAAAAGACTCAGGACTCCATCTGTCAGCAGGTTTACTCTCCAGTAACATAGCAGAATGAGACCAAATTTGGTGGTGGAGAGGAAACCAGCAAAGGAAAGATCCTGTTCAAAAACAGGCCAGATGTGGTTTGGAGTTGTAGAGAAAAACATTCCAGAAAAAAAACTCAGATGCATCCTTATGGGACAGGGAATTGGGCAGTGGCTCATAATGTGCCAACTCCTCCATGCCAAGCCCCTTCCTCCTCCCTTAGTCACATGACCTGATGTAGAGTGTATGCACCCTGCCTTGTGCATCCTGATGCACACTTGCACACACCAGTGCAACACAAGGGGAGAGCAGAAACACGCACAAATACAACACATTACTTGTTATACGGAACAGAGGTGCCTCCAAAGGGCTCTTTTGAACAAGGTCACGGTGGGGGGACAATCAGATCTCTGGGGGATGTTGTTTCAGGGAACTGCAACAGAGAAGGCCCGCTTCCTAGGTCCCATCATATGACCCTGTTTAATGGATGGGACCCGGAACATGCCAACTGTGCCCAATTGTAGAGGGCAGAAACTATGGAAGACAGATGGTCGCTCAGTTAACTAGACCCTATGCTGTGAAGGCATTTATAGATAGTTACCAGCATTTTGAAGCCTATTGGTAACCAGTGGACTCATGAAGTAGTGGTGTTACAGGAGCATAATGTAGCAGGAGCATCACTACCTGTGCCATCAAATTCTGCACCAGCTACAGCTTCCGTGTGGTCTTCAAGAGCAATCCCAGTGGAGCATGTTGTAGTAATCCACATCTCCCACATCACTGGCTCTTTTGAATTACGGCCCCTTGGTCTGTAGCTGGTAGATGAGACCCCAGGCAGCTCAGAGCTTTATAGCATTCCTATACCTATAAACTTATAATTGAGCTGAAGGTCTCAGCAGGTTGAAGACAACTGACAACTCACATTTGAAATGTGCCTATAGATATAACATTTTCACATTTTAGGACTTGATATCCCCTTGAGAACGGTTGCCCTTAGTTTTTGCCCCTTGCATAACCTCCAAGATAAGCTGTCTCCTGTTTTCTATGGGTGGCACGTCATAAAACCCAAACTCAGATACCGTGTGACCGGGACCAGCATATAAAAGGAAATGAACATTCAAGATAAGGAATGGATAGATCCTGCTTTGTTCTCCCGATGCTCCTGTTGCTATGGTGCTGCGCAATGCTTTCACAGGACTGAGAGGAGTAAGACAGTAGACAGTGGAGTTGTGCTGCAAATGTCAAAGAACATCTTGGAACTCCAGCTGTTCCTGAAAGGGAAGAGTGAGAAGCAGTCTGGCGGGGCTGTAGGAAAATGCTCGGTGGGTTTGCTTCCCCTAAAGTTTCACATGGACAGGATAAGTTTGGTAATCCTTTATGGGCTTTTTGCTGACACCAGGACTGAAAGGTTTGATGATTTATGGATTTGCCTATAGATAAGGGGTGGGTTATGGGACGAAGAGATATTTGTTTATAACCTTATAAGGGGTGAAGAGTTATCAAATTTGTTTATACTTGTGATGAAGATGGGAAGTCACTTCTTTATATATTTTTTTTTCTTTTTCTTACATTTTCTTTTTCTTTCTTTGCACTTTTTATTCTTTCCCTCTCTTTCTCCAAGTTTACTTTGTATTTGCTTTTACTATTGTAATAAAAATTGCCAATAAAATTTTTTAAAAAATAAATGTTAACATAGAGTGTAGAGACTTTGCTACCCTGTGAAGCTGAGGCCATAACTATTGGCCCAGTCCACGGTTTTGGTAGTGTGGGTGGCACGGTGGTGACTCCCGCCCCCCCCCCCCCCCCCT